TGTTCATGTAGCTGTTATCATGGTACTTCATTGTATTTTAATGCAGGCAGGTGGTGTTAGCACCCAGATAGATGTCCAAAGCCAGCAATGCTATTTGCAGCCAATCCAGACACACATTAGGTGCTATATGTGTACATGTAGCCTACTGAAGGCTATGTATATATTTCTTAAACCTAACCAAGTAGTTTTGCTGCTTAAACTACAGAAACTGAAAATAACAATAATAATACTGAAAAAAAAACAGAAAATAATAATAAGTCAACAAAATGAAAAAAATTGGGTTCTCACCGGATTCGAACTCCAGTCAGGTGACAGACTCATTTTGACCCATTCATTCACCACAACCTACTCCCTTTATTCTCTTTAAACTACTACTACTATTACTACTATTACTACTACTACTACTCCTAAATCCTTCTGTCAGAAAGGGATTTCTCTCAGAAAGCTTTTCGGCTATCTATTGTTAGATTAAGCACATTCAACTTGGCCAGGTGTAAATAGTTGAATAGCTGCCTTGTGACTATTCTCACCTGGGTGCAAATAGACGTTTCGTATAAGGTATCTGGCTGGAATGAAGATTTAGTCAACTATATCTATCCCTCAATGTTGTCCTTTATCTTGCTTTTCTGAAAAAAAACACCACTAACTCCTTCTCTCTCTTCCATCTTTTTCATCAGAAGAACAAAGAGTCCATTAGCTCTGTCTTCTTCCTGCGTATGTACGTCATACTGGCTGCAGCACTTTGCAACATGTATTGATTCACCATTGGATCGAGGCCAAGGATCCTCTAAAAATGACGTAAATGTGGGTTTGATCACACTTGCAGACACACAATTGAACAATTGGACTGAACTCAGGTTTAAACTTCCAATGTGAATGTCCCAATCAAAAGCTGATTTTTTTGGGGCTTCTGGAGACCAAAGGAAGTTTTCATAGCCAGAAAAATCTCTTAAAGGTGGCATAACCGTGTTGATGCATCAGTTTCCCAGATGTTGTTTGGTTGGTCATCACCGCAGAGCTTTGATAGTTTGAAAAACAGAAGAATATAAGTTGACGGCCCCTTGACTGACACCTTCAATACTTTGAGAAGTGGACATGGAATCACTATGGAGGCCATAATCTGATTCCATATCCACATTTATACCTCAAACACACACACCCACACCCACACACACACACACACACACACCCACACACACATACTCTTATCTTTCACACTCTTAGACATGAGGAGGAAATGGGCTCTCAGGGGGGGAAGACTTTATGAGTTACGCCTTGTAAAGTGTGCGACGGTAAAATCCTTCCCCCCCAGGCTTATACTGATGTGAAGGGTTCTTTTATTGGGGTCAGGAGAAGGCATAGCACTGAATCTAAGTGTGAGTGTGTGTGTGGGAGAGAGAGAGAGAGAGAGAGAGAGAGAGAGAGAGAGAGAGAGAGAGAAGGTGTGTTTGTGTGTTATTCATGTGTGTGTTTTGGGGAAATGCTAGAACTGTTGACCTGACATTAATACTTAGTATCGTAGGTTTCCCAGGTCACCGAGATTACACATTTATTGTATTCGGGTGGCATCTCAGTTTATCTTACAACTCATACATGGACACACTTTTAATTTTATAATTACATTCATCTTAGAAAGACACAAACACTCTTTCATACACACTCACACAATTTATTGAACCAACTCTCTAAAATGGCCTATGGTCATTTAATGATGCAACCAAAGGAAATCCTGTTAATGTGCCTTATTAGGTGTGTGTGTGTGTGTGTGTGTGTGTTGCAGAAAGAGAGAGAGAAATGTGCATAAAAATCGCAACATAGTCAGAGCTCTTAGAATGTCATTTGCTTTTGTGCTTTACACGGCAGTATAGTTACCAGCAGGCTTTTACGCTGACATTTTTTATAAACCACTTATCCTTCTATAGGTGACTTTCCTCAGTACAACATGACCTTGTTCTGGTTGCCTTTGTCTCATTGCTCCAGTGCTATTACATAAATTATAGCAAATAATTTGTACCAATTTTTAATCTCTTTTGCAGACAATTGCTTTATGTTAGTGATGTTATCTATCATAGTAATGCAGTAGAGGTTAATTAATTAATAGTCCAATTTATTTCAGAAATAAAGTCAAGCACAAACATGAAGATGTACATTTTCCAGCATTTGACAGACATTATATGATCCAAAGACTCAGCTAATGGGTCTGTAAGTAAAATGTGTAGTTTAACTCGCTGACAGTCTGTTTAGTCTCTGAATGCTCTAACTCCGAGTGCAGTGGGGTGTGGAGTGTTTTGGGATTACTGTGTGATTCGTATACCCATGGTGGTGTTTAACTGGAAACGCAGTGTAGAATCACACTTCAGACGATGATTCATCTGTGCTAACAAGCACAAACAGACGAAAGATCTCTCCTCCTCTCTTTCCTCCCCTCTTAGGAGCCACATAAACACAGTAGTCTCTTTACATCTTCCCTGCACCTGTGAGCCCTGTCGAGAAAATCCTACCTAGTTTAGAAAACACATGGTAAAATAAGATCTGAAATAGATCTCATTTATTTTTTAATTTGTCACAGTGTGCTATTAGATAAGGTTGAGTTAGCACACATTTGCTCATGTAACAATATAATAGAACTGAGAGTATCCTCCTGTGTATTCTTAATCTATGATTAATGTCAGGACTTTTACCCCTGCAGAGATATTTGAATACTGTTATCCATCCATCCTTTGATTCTCTAAATCCCTTTATCCTTGTCGGGTTTAGAGGTCACGAGTCTACCCCACTCTGCACTGAGAAGCAGGTACACACAGATGCTGAATCCTCATTCATAGTTTGGATCTTTTGAAGGATGTAGTCCACAACTTTATGTTCTTTTGTGGTTTCTAGGGGCCAAAGTGAACCTGCAATGCTTCCCAAAATGAGACAGTCTGGCCGAAACTAATGATGAATTCATTCAGTTTCACCACATTAAGAGTTTAAGGATGAGAAATTGCATGTCTTCTGGCTGTCAGTCTGTATCTTAAACTGTAAACAATCTTCGTATTTTGTGCCGTCATTATTCAAAGCTGGAGCCAATTTAATGTGAACTAACACTGATTCTGATTTCAGTCTGGTCACTAAAACACAGCAAACTCTACAGTTCAGCTTTTTCCAGGTTTTTACATTTTTACTTTGCCGATCCACGAATTAAGAAAGTTCAAAAACCAATGTACTTAGCTCAACCCTCTCTTGTAACTTATGGTTGCATAAAGCCAAGTTGGCGATAACCAAAATTTAGAACCTTGAGGCTTTAAAACGGCAATCCACAAACCAATGGGTGACCTCACGGTGACCATGTCCACTTCTAACCATAAGGGCCCCCTCAGCACTTACAATGTGAGGAGAGTGCAGTGCTGTACAACTGAGCCAGTGGTTGGCACGCCACAATATGCTGTGAAACAATCCAATATGCACCAATAATTCAGTTCATTTAGCATAACAGGACAGTTTAAAGGGAGTCATACTATGGCAAGTTGTTCATTGTTTCACTTACTGTAACTAGCTCTCCCTTTATTTTAGCGAGCTGCCCATATGATTCAGCTTGTTAACAGTGAGAGAGTTACTAAGTAATGTGTCACTGCCCCACACTGGACAGGTGGTGTGCAAAGTTGTAAAGGGAAATTAAGGGTGATAGAAAGCAAGAAATGTGTCACCAAAGCAGAAAGTATAACTCTTAAAGATAAACAGACTGATACACCTTATCACTCCCCCCCCACACGCTTCATAATCCATCCACTGTCAGTGTAAATATCAAATATATTTGATGATCATTCTCTGAGACAGTTGGTGTGGTTAAGACTTAATCCATAAAGCTTTCATTGCATCTGGCATCCTGCTCCATTCATCTTCTTTAACCAAGCCTCTCTCCCAATTGTCAGAAGGGAAAATCTGAGGTAAATCTCATGGCTAATCATGAAGCTTGTTGCAGTAAGAAAAATGTAGTGACAAACATAGAGGGGGGAAAAACAGCCGTACTAAATCAAATAGTGATAAAGGCAGTGAGAGATCAAAAGAGTGAGAGAGAGACAAAGTATAATTCACCCAGATGAGCCAGAGGAGGATCAATAGAGCAAAAATAAACTGTTGGAAAGTACCTCAAACTTTTGAAACATCTTTAACTAACAGAGAAAAGGTTGTTTGTATGCTAAAATGTTCTGGAGCTCACTCAGATTCGATGACGCAGCATTTTGCTTCCTCTGATGTCAAAGAAAACAACAGCAGCTGTCAGGCGGTAAATTGTGGCTGCTAACAGTTTATGACAGGAGTGGGAGTGAGAGGAGGAGAGAAAGCTAAAATCAGAATCCTGCACTTCAGGCTTTTGATATGTGGCAGCGAGCTGAAGCTAGACAGGAGGGGTGAGGATAAAAAAGGGACAGGAGTTAGGAGAGAGGAAACAAGTGATAACGAAAGAGTGACAGGTAAAGGAGGGGTAGGAAGAAGAAGAGAGAGCATGTACACATTCATGTAAGTCTTAAAATAAATAAAAAGCCGAATGTTGTGACTTTTTTGGGAGTCTTTTGTCGAGGCACAGATGAGTTCATATGCCTTCTAGCAACAATCCCTCAGTATGATCAAATCTGTTCATAGTTTCCGGTTGCGTAGGTTTTTTTCTGAAAATCTTTCAGTGCCCTAAAAGTGTTAGTGGGTAAGCAGTGACGCCAACGTGGCTGAAGTGACAAAGAAAACCACCAGAAACTCACAGTATTTTTTATTCTTTATTGATTACAGTCTCATTTCACTGCTTTGTAAATAATCAGACCAGAAATAATTTCATTTTTTAGAGAAAAGGGACAAAACCTACCCGTGCTATACAGTAAAGGTTGTGTGAATCCTTTTATTGGGAGGACTTTCTCTTTAAATTCTGCATCCGGGTGTTTGTGAGGGATAACATTGCAGTTGTCTTTGTCCGTTTTTTATCTATAATACTCTGTTGTTTCACTCATATGTTTTCTGTGTCTTACCCTCAGGTGAAAGTGATGGTTCGTGTGTGCCCAGTGTCTCAGTCGGATGCAGCTGAGTCCAGTTCCTTCCTTAAAGTGGATCCCAGGAAGAAACAGATCACCATCATGGACCCCTCAGCCAATCAGACACCAAGCGCTGCCTCACAGAAAAAGGTGGGAGCCAATCAGGTCCCTCCAAAGATGTTCACCTTTGATGCTGCTTTCCCTCCTGATGCATCACAGGTAAGAGAAAAGATTATGAGTTTTAAAAGCAAAGGATTTTTATATAAAACCTGCCATGACCATCGCGGAAAGGCAACTTTTTATAAAAATAATTACAAATATACACAAAATGCTGGTCTTATGCCACATCAATGCTATAGTGGTTAGCTGAGTGGATCAGCCTTCAAGATGTAGCTCCAAGCAGTAGATAGAGGAAATTTCTCACTTTCTGCTAAAAATAGTTACTTGGCTAAAACAATCTACAGAAGTGTCAACAGACTGGTGACACACTGGCTGCAAAGCCCCCATCGGTGGCACTTCCATCTAAATAAAATCCAATATTGACGGAGCAGCTTGACATTTTGGGGAATACACTTATTGACTCTCTTGTCGAGAGTTAGATGAGAAGATCGATAGGCTCTCTCGTGTCTGTGAGCTAAGTATGAAGTCACAGCCTGCAGCTGGTTAGCCTGGCTTTGCAGTTTCAAAGCAAGAGCAAACAGCTAGCCTGGCTCTGCCCAAAGTTAAAGAAAATCCAGTTACCAGCACCAGGAAGTCTCTGTGGCCGGCCAACAAATGTTTCCAGCATGCAACAAAACAAGCTGTTGTTTTTACATTTCTATTTGTTGATGTGTAAGCTTTACTTGTGCTGGTAGGTGTATTTTCTTGGATAGAGGTCAGGCTAGCCGATGTTTCTCCCTGCTTCCAGTTTTATGTTAAGCTAGCTAACTGTAAAATAAACATATTTACTAAAATGTCAAACTATTCCTGAAGGAGCTGAACACTGTTTTGTTTTATTTGGTTTCAGTAGTCAACCAAACGCTATAAATGTAAAATGAAAATAGACATTTTAGGATTAATAGTAATGCATGTGGTGTGACTAAAATGCTATCAGTAGGAGTAAGGTGTATCTTGGAAAAATGCACAAATGCTCACAAGCTGGAATAACAGAATTCTTCCCTTCCACGACTTCTATACGTTCAGATATTTATGCTTTTCTTGACCCTCTTCCTTCATCTCTTCTGTCTGCCTGTTGCTAGGCGGAGGTGTGCGCGGGAACGGTTGCAGAGGTGATTCAGTCGGTGGTGAACGGAGCAGATGGCTGTGTCTTCTGCTTTGGACACTCCAAACTTGGTAACTGTCACACACATGCACGCAGACTACAAAATCAGAGCATGTGTGGCTCGTGAGTCATCTTTAGTGTGAGTGTGTCTGACCGTCAGTGTGTCAGTCTTTCATTTGGCTGTCTCTCCACTGGCTCTCATCTATCAGAGAGAGAAAGATGAGGATTAGTGTCTGCTGAAGCTGAAAGTATTCTCAGTCTGCGCTGTCTGTGTTTCTGTCTTCTTTTCTCTCTCTGTAATCCTTCCGAAGCTGTTTTTTAGAGAAGTTGTCTTAAAAAGGGTCAGGACCCCTTACTGCATTCTGCAACACGCCTGAACCCACACACATGCCCTGGCACAAACAAAGACCCCCCCCCCCCCCCCCCACACACCCCCCCCCCCCCCCCCCAAAAAACAACCCCCCCCCCCCCCCCCCCACACACACACACACACAGATGTTCTTCAACCCTGGGTCCACCCCTTGTTGTGTTTATCCCTGTACATGCAAGCAGCATTACCCTTCTTGGCTTGTGATCTTCATACAGCCAGTTGGAGTCCCTAAGTCCCCTTGAGCTGCTGGCAGTGGACGAAAGCAGGGAATTTGTATTTGGCAGTTCAGCAGGGAACACTTCTGTGTTAACGACCATGCATTTCCTGAAACAAACAGTAATGAATTCCTACATAAAAACCAACATGCAAACCGCTGTGTTTCCTAATTGTGCTGCAGAGATTTTATCCCTTGCCAGATCAATTGTAAAAGTAAACTTGTTTATAAATTAGTTATGAAGAAGTATTTTGATTGTAAGCTGTAAATATTTACATCGTCAGAGTAATTGCTGAGAAAGGGACCATGCAAACGAGTCCAATGGGGCAAGAAGCATGAGGTTGTAAAAAGAAAAAGCTAGCAGTTTAGACAGATTAACTATAGAGATTAGATAACACCTCAGCTTTGCCTCCAAATACATTATTATTTGAACCACTTAATCAGGAGTGTCACGAGGTACTGCAATACCAAAAGCAGCCACTATGCCAAAATCACATCACGGCTCAGCGCTGTTCCTTGGAGCATGGTACACTGTAAAATACATACAAAGACAATAAAAAGGCTTTAACACATTTGTAGTGTGACCAGCAACGTAAGTCAAAGCTTAGCTAGGAATAATAAAGATGGCCACATATGAAAATAAGACCTAAGTTGTAATAAATGGGCAGAGAGGAGAACCTGCCCACTTCTCCCTCAAAGAGGAAAGATCATACTAACCCAACATGGTGTACACATCACACAGCCTGTCTTGGTCAGTGTTTTGTATCTCACCATGTTTACATGTTGTCATTCAGCTTTCAAATATCGACACATGGCTGTCATGATTCATGATGATGATTCATAGTGTGTAATATGACTGGAACCAATATGCCAAACACGCCCCCAAAACAGACCTCTTATTGTCTTATTGTTTGATCGTGTGATGACAGGGATAACTGAATTTCTTGGCTTTAGTACCGGAAGCGCTTTTATATGATCCATCATAGATAGTTTGCTCTTTCAATCAGTTTTACTGTTACATTAATGATGCAGAGAGGCTCTGACATTGCTGGTTTTGGATTAAACGGCTGCTGCAGGCTGGTAGCAGCAGAGGAGATAATTCTTGCCATAGATCTTAATGAGGCTGGATTATAATGGCATTACCTTTTTCCTAATTAAAATGGGGAAAGTAACACAACGAGCATTTATCTTCGGCCCTGTGGCCCTTGGCTGTAGACACATATGGGTACTCAGATGCACACAAGTGGACTCATCTACACACATGCACACTTTCACAAAGAGTAACCAGGTTTTCATTGAATTGGGAAAATGATACTGAAATAAATGGATGAACTTCAGGAATGTAATTGAATCCTGTGATGGATTATGGTATTGGTTATGTGATTATTGGCTTTGGATGGATCATCCTTTAGTAATGAAGAGTGTGAGAGTGTGTGTGTGTGTGTGTGTGTGTGTTTGTAAGCTGAAATGTGTGAGTCTTTGAACTGATGATACAGTGCTGCCTTCTTCTCTCACACGTTCTCACCCTGTTCACTTTCTCTCTGACAGCCTCAGCAGCTCAGTTTGATGATACCAATTGCCGGGAATATACATCATCTTCACAGACATGGACACACACACACTGCTTCATCTCCTGTAGCGAAGAGCCACTATGTTGCAGCGTTAGTCAGTGAAACAGTCAGCTAGCTGACCGTGTATTGACAGCCTGTGGTACACAGAACAGAAGGAAACACATATACTCACGTCGATGTGTAATTCAAGGCTCTCTCACATATAAACAGTCCACAGGCAAAAAAGAGAAAGGAGGTGCTTTGTGGTTATGTAGCGGTACTACATAGAGCCATCACTGAGGGAGTCAGATTTGTTAAATCAAAAGAAATCAACTGGTAAATCGGTTAAATCAAAGTAAATGACCCAGCGTTGCTGTTTTGATGCTGCTGATAGCTGAATTTAATGCATTCTTTAACATTTCATTCACATCATTTTGAGGTTTTATCCAGAGGAGTCTGACATTGTGCTTGTGTGAACTTAGAAGGATTTCATTCAACACCGTATAAACAATGCGATGGTACAACCCTTTTTGTTGATCAGGTTTTCTATTTTCTTCACTAGTTCTCCAAATATTTTTGTGACAAATCATGAGATGCATCTTTGTTTCGACAGTAAGTTTAATCGCTCCAGGAGACATTTAGGGTGAACAATGTAAAATTACAATGCAGCTGACAACCGACCCACCACGCTGTCTCTGAACAAATCCGAGCACATTTGTTTCTCTACCCTGCGCCACACGAGTCAGGCTTTTGATGTCCTCTGTTTATGTGTAAATGTTTGTGTCGGTTTGATTGTTAGGTGTGACATATGGCTTTGTTTATGTGTGTGTTTGATCTCCAACTCCTGAGAGTCAGAGCAGGTGTGTGTGTGGGGGGGTTTGCTGCTCAAAGGGACAGATCTAGAGGCCCCGTGTGCACATGCATGTTCAGACACGCAAACAGACACAAATCTATTCATACAAAGCACCTTTCTCCCTTGAAGTCTTTTTCGATGATGTTCTTTTTTTCCCATTCACCCTTCCCCTATTTCATTTTTCTGTCCGTCTCTTCCAGGTAAATCCTACACCATGATTGGCCGTGATGACTCTCTCCAGACTCTGGGTATAATCCCCTGTGCCATCTCCTGGTTGTTTAAGCTCATCAATGAGAGGAAGGAGAAAACAGGAGCACGCTTCTCTGTCCGTGTCTCTGCAGTCGAGGTCAGTGTTACTGGCGAGACCTCAATTTCTGACATTGCTTGCAGAGTTTCACAGGTGTCATTACTGATACAGACATTTGGGAAAGAAGGTTACTAACAGTTTTTTCTAAGTTGTAGTGGCAGTAGCTGGGGTACTGGCAGTGTCATATCAGACAACAGACCGGACTCTCACTATAAAAATGCTTTGATCACAATTAGTCAAAATCAATTTGGGAAAGGATTTTGTCAGAAAATAAAAGACAAAGTGATGTCTACTACTAGTCAACTAGTGTGTGTGTGTGTGTGTGTGTGTGTGTGTCTGTGTGTTTAGGTTTGGGGAAAAGAGGAGAACCTTAAAGACTTGCTGTCTGAAGTCGCCACAGGCAGCTTACAGGATGGACAGGATGGACAGTCACCTGGAGTCTACCTTTTTGAGGACCCCATCTGTGGCATGCAGGTAATTTACAGACACATGCACAAAGACATGCACGCATTTAAACATACTGCAGCTGACGGGAGCATTCGTTTATGCAACGTGTATTCTGTACATTAAATCCTGCAAGTGTGTGTATGAACAGCCTTGGGCCTTGTTATCAATATGCTTTACCATTGTTTTTTGTAGCCTCAGGCAGTTCTATGTTGTCTTAGCTAATGTGGCATGTGCAAGCTTGGTCATGCAAACACTCACCTTAGAGCAGCAGATACAATATGAGAGCTTTAGTATGCTATTAGTGTCTAAATAAACCAGGCATCTTTTAAAACACCAGGTCCAGAAATAGCTGTGTTACTAAAAATACACTCTGACGGAATCAAAGAAGAACAAGTGCAAATGACTCAATGACACAGACAAAAATGGAAAAACTACAAAAAAAATGATATTGTTGGATATATTCAAGCTTTTTCTTAAATTGGTCATGCTTTAGGTGACATTTTTGAATTTACTGATTGCAATCAGTAAATTCACTTTGATGAGCGTGACTCAGACAACAAAGGGCTACTTACATGGCACTAAATGTAATAACCATTATGATTAATGTCATTGTCGTTCATTAGGTTAGTAATTACATAGCAGTCTGAATGTGTGTATGGAGAACAGCGCCATAAACAACTGAGTGACAGAGGGTGAACTGTGTGTGTGTGTGTTGAGCTGCAGTTTTATGTTTTATAGGATTATAGGGTCTGATACAAGAACAGCTGTGTAATCCTTCACTAATCTGACATAATCTCATCGGTAATGATATCCGCAGTACCACACACACACACACACACACACACACACACACACACACACACA